CCAAAACTTGCAAAGTTTTAAAATGTAGAAGTTTTCGTTGGAGCCCGCGCAGGCGCAGTCTCTCCACAAGTGTGCATTTGCAGAGACCACGAAGAAAAAAATATGGTTACAGGGAAAGTGCTTTTTCTAAACTGTATAAACTGTAGAAAACTGATTATCTTTTTTGAAAATCAGTAGCTTAAAGTTTGCTCCCTTGGGCGTAATTCCACATACTGCGAGGCAAATCAACTCAGAACTAATACAACAAAGATTTTTCAATTATTATTTTAAAGACAGAATAGAACAGAAGAAGGCAAAATAATTTAAACAAAGAAGTTGTTCAGAGTGAAAATGCAAAGAAAAGATTAAATTATATTTTACATGCAAAGCCTTGCTGATAACTTGCTTCCCAACAGTATTCTGAATGTATTAGTTCTTATTTGATTTCTCCCCTTCGTTTTTGTCTCACACTGTTATTGTAAGTTCTGCAGTACTCTTATGAATGCAAACCAGTTTTTAAAGAATTGCATTTGTATGGATTTTTCTGAAAGGTTCCACAATGTCTTGATAATTTTCCTTTTTTTTAAAAAAAAATGGGAACTGTTCCATTATCCTGGTGGAGGCCACTAGGGGGTGCTAGAGAGAAGGATAATCCATTTTAAGGGGATGGAGGGTGGATTGAAGGAGGAAAACCATTCTCCCCTGTTTTCCTGTTAATTCCCCCACCAATATCCTCGTTGTGGAAACAACCTTTGTTTATGACATGGGAAGGGGGGAGGAGGAATAACAAGAGAAATTGGGGGAAATGGCTTTCCTCCTTCAATTCAAAAAATGGACTATCCTTCTCTTTCTAGTGCCCCTGGTGGCCTCTGCTCTAATAATGTAACAGTAAGAAAACTGAAATATTTCTTTTCTCCAAAGTACATTGAACTTTATCTACCACCACAACTCCTTCATTATGGGAGTTGTAGTTTGCTGAGCCACCAGCACTATTTGTCAAGTAAGGGTAGTGGCATTGTAAAACTACAACTCAGATGATTAAATAGTATTGAACCATGGCAGTTAATTAATTTATTTATTTACTGTATAGGGTGAAGCAGCATAACTTCCTTTTTTCAAAACTTAATAAAACCTATTGTGTGAATCAGATTTTTTAAAATAATGTAGGCATATAACTAAAGTTTTGTTTTACGTAGTTTTGAAGATCAAATTAGGTAGGTGACATCCCCCATTTTCCAGTCTCCATACACTAAGTAAATCGATTTCTGGCGTTTGTCATGACTTTTGCC